AATTAACCGGGCATGGTAGCGCATGCCTGTAGTTCTGACTACTTGGAAGGCTGAGACGGAAGGATTGCCGGAATCCAGCAGGTTGACGCTGGGGTGGCCACGAATATGCCACTGCACTCCAGCCTGGGCGACAGAGTGAGACTCCAATTCAAAAATAATATTATTACTACTGCTATTCGGGTTACTTATGCTCAGTTCCAGCCCTGTGGAAGGGACAGTCCCACTTCCTTCTGATCAGAGGTAGCCAACGTGGTGTGAACAAAGATGCAGCATGAGGTATGGGCCCAGCCAGGATGGGGACTCCCCAGGCAGGGTCACGGGGCCATGAGCACCATCCCACCCAGGCCTGTGGCTGGCAGCCATGGCCCAAATGCCGAATGACCTTGCTTTCCCGCTCAGTGTGGGGGTCTCTCTTCTTGTCTGCACACTCCCTTCTGCTGCAGCCCTGTTTTCTGTGTTGCCCCCAAGGGGGTGTGGCCCACACTCTGACCTCGCTGGAGTCCCCATCCCTCTCCCAGCCTCTCCTGGGAAACCACAGCCCCTCCAGTCCTCCAGCCAGGTCTGGACTCCTGTCCTTCAATCGCTCTGGCCTCTGGAAGAGGAGAGGGCAGCAGATGTCAAGGCAGAGGTGGAGGCAAGCTCAAGATGTGTCTGCCGCGGGGTTACCTTGTGCCTATACCGAGGCAGGGAACAGGGAGCAGAAGTAGGCCCCAGGCGCAGAAAATCGGGGCAACAGAGTCAGGCCCCGGAGATAGCTGACGGGGAGACAGACTAGCATCCATGCCCTCCCCAGGAGAGAAGCCTCCCTCAGCGGGGCAGGTGGCCTGCCTGCTTCTGAGTGGGGAGTCGAGGCTGCCAGATACTTAAAGCAGAGGCTTTGAATTCTTCACAAGGCCTGGTCCCCCAGGGCAGGGGCTTCATAGCAGTCACGAACTGGATTAAGTTGAGCCCCACTGATGTGCAGAAGGAGGTGACAGCCGGGCTCGGTGGCTCAGCCCGTAATCCCGCGCCTTTGAGAGGCTGAGGTGAGTGGGCTGCCTGAGCCCGCGGGTTTGAGACCCGCCTGGGCAGGCGAGACCTCATCTCTACAATAAATCAAAAATCAGCCGGGCGTGGTAGCGCGCGCCTATAATTCTGGCTACTCGGAAGGCTGAGGCGGAAGGATCGCCGGAACCCAGCGGGTCGAGGCTGCGGTGGCCGGGAGCGGCCACTGCACTCCAGTCTGGGCGACAGAGTGAGACTCCAACTAAAAAAAAAAAAAAAAAAAAGAAGGAGGTGACATTGCCATCCATGACTTGCTGTGGCCGCTGCTGGAACAAGTAGCCACTGGAGGGGGGGCGCTTGAAACCAGAGATATTCATCCTTTCCCAGGGTTGGAGGCCAAAGCCAAAGTAAAGGTGTGGCCCAGCTGAGTTCTCTCTGGCGGTTCAGGGGAGATCCCTCCCTGCCTCCTCTGTCTTCTGGGGGCCCAGGTGTCCCCTGGGTTGCTCCAGTCTTTTCAGAGCCAGAGCCTTTCCCCTAAGTCTCCTTGTGTTCCTTCTGCCTCTTTCAAGGGTAGTCTCGTTGGGCTTAGGGCCCACCCTGAGGCAGTATGGTTTCTTCTTGGTTTTTGCCTTTATCACACCCGTAAAGACCCTTTTTTTCCCAAATAAGGTCACATTCCGAGGTTTTGGGTGGACACGAGTTTTTAGGAAACACCATTCCACCTGCTGAGACATCAAATCAAAGCGGCAGGACAAGCAGTACCCAGAAGGCAGCGGCAGCTGGGGGACCTTGATGTTGTGGCTTCTGCAGCTCTGGCTGCCCCATTCCAGCGGCAAGGGTTTTCCAGGAACATCTCTGACTGCCACTACCAGCTGGGAGGCTGGGTTCCTGACTCTCTTTTATGGATGAGGACACTGAGCCTCAGAGAGGTCGAGTGAATGGTCAAGGTCCCACAGCCAGCCAGAGCTGGATCTGGACTGGGGAGGCTCCCAGACTGATAAGGTACCAAGATATCCCCATGATCTTTCTCTAAGGAGCTTGCTTTATCAGTAAGAAGCAAAGATATTGAACTGTCTTGTTTTCTTTAGGGACAGGGTCTTGCTCTGTCACCCATGCTGGAGTGCAGTGGCACAATCACAGCTCACTGTAGCCTCGAACTCCTGGCCTCAGATGGCTGGGACTACAGGTGTGCACCACCCTCGGCCCATATAAAAAAAGTTTTTTTAGGGATAGGGTCTTGCTCTGTTGCTTCAGCTGGTCTCAAACGCCTGTACTCAAGTGATTCTCCTGTCTCAGCCTCCCAAAATGCTGGGATTACAGGTGTGAGCCACTGTGCCAGTCTAAACTTTCTTGGTGTTCATGTCCCTTCACTTCCTCAGAACATAGATTCTGGAATGTAGCCACTTCCATGAGTTCACAAGAAAAATGAGGTCCAAGGGAACAAGGATTAATTTAAGTGTTGCTAGATCTCAGTCTGTGCTCGGGATATGAGATGAGAGGACCAAACTGGGCCCGGCCCCGCCCCTGTGTCTATGCTGGGAGCCACCCTGATTTTCACCCAGATTCTTGCTTCTTCCAACACTGGCCTAGAACATGGGGGTGGCCCCGGGGAGCTGAGCCACGATGTCAGCTCAACTTTGAAGACCAGGGCTGGAGGTTTATGTTTTTGAGTTGGAGTCTCTGTGTCACCTAAGCTGGAGTGCAGTAGCATGCTCACAGCCACAGGAGCCTTGTCCTGCTGGGCTCAGGAGATTCTTCCGCTTCAGCCTTCCAGGTAGCTGGAACCACAGGCCTTTGCCACCACGCCTGGCTAATTTTTTGATTTATCGTAGAGACGAGGTCCTGCCGAGTTGCCCAGACTGAACTCGAACCCGTGGGCGCAGGCAATCCTCTCACCTCCGCCTCACAAAGTGCTGGGATGACAGGCAAGAGCCACCGTGCCCGGTCCTAGGCCTGAGGTTTGGTTGGGAGGTTTTTCAGCACCTTGGACCGTATCCTTAACAAATCTCTGCTGTGTCCTGCTGGGAGCCAGGCTGTGGCTCTCCAAAGGGGTGGGGAGGGCGCCACTTTGCTGGGACTGCCCAGTGCTTAGGACCTGACCCTGTCGTCACTGAACCAAGGACCCCTCAGGCCCGCTTGTATCCACAGACACCCAGAGCCATTCTAGGGGAAAGGTGGGGAGGAACAAGCGTCTGGACCCTGGACCTCAGTTTCCCCATCTGTAAGTACCGGGATCCCGCCGTGTAGGGTTTCAAGGCAGGTGGGTGGGCGCACCTGCCCCCGACCCCAGCCTGCAGTCCGGGCCAGGGCAGGTGCAGGGACCAGGGGAGAGCGGTAACCCCCTCCCCCTCCGCTGCCTGCCAGGTCTGCGAGTTCCAGAGGAGGCAGCCGAGGAGGGCGGGTCTCCAGGCTGCCTGGGGTCCGGTCTCCCGTGGACCGCTCGCCTCGCCCGCCCATCCCCGAGGCAGGCGGGCCGGCTCCAAAGAGCAGGGGGCCCCCGGTGAGCTCACCGCCTCCCCGCAGCCCCCCGGGCGCTTATTATTACCCGCATTTTCCCTGGAGGCGCCCCGGGGCTCGGAGAGACCCAGCGGCTAGCCCAAGGTCACACCGCGTAGCAGCGACAGATGGGGACTGGAACCCGCGACTCTGGGGCCCCGTTCCACCCGTGGCTCGAAGACACCCGCGCCACCCTGTCGCGGCGCTCAGCTCCGGAGCAGGAAGGCCGAGCGCCCGGCCTTCGCCGAAAAACAAGGCTCCGTGCAAATTTGCGGGAACAAAAGCGACCAGGAATCCACCCCGGGTTTTCTGCCTCGCCGACCCCCGCCGACCAATCGGGCCCCTCCGGCCGCCGAGG